TTTTTTTTTTTTTTTTTTTCTGTTTCTAACTTGTACTTGCTAATTAACCATATTCTAAGTCAAAATAACAAATAGATTATGAAACTACAAATTTTCTTTTTCCGCACATTATTTGTTACACTGGTAAGCAAAATAAATAGTTTCAACAAGCAATGTCAATAAAGTATTGCATAAAAAACATATATGAACATCTATAATAAATAATAATTATGTTTCCTGTTCAGTTCAGCAGACCCATACCAGAAACCAAAACCACAACCAAAAGGGAAAAAAAAAAATGAAAGCAAACTTTTACATATAACCAAATTATGGATTGCAACAAGCACCATATCAGGATATCTCAACACAGGCGTCAGCCTGTATGCATATCGAGAAATTCAAGAAACAAAGAGATGTATTAATAGGCTATGTACCTCATTCTCTGACAGATATCCATCAGGAACAAAGAACCCGCCTTCACTTTCATCCTCATCGTCATCCTTAACATGTCCTTCCATATTTTCTTCCTCATCCTTGTCACAATCTGATAAGCTTTCACCAGGTTCATCCTGTGTAACCAGTCTTTAATTATAATATATGTCATTATGAGAATAACCACTTGTAAATAACGGAGATAGCATACCTCTTCCCACTCCTCATCACTATCAATCTCATAGTCAATATCAGGGTCCTTCACAAAAGGATGACGTCCACCAACAACTTGACTAGAAAAAAGGTCAAGATATGAGGTCAGAAGGCAAGATACAATTTGTCAATAGGCAAGCAAGAGTGTAACTACATTTCAACGTAGTACATACTCATGTGAGAAAAAGAAAGATGCTTTATAATCATAAACAACAAAAGAGTCAACTCCCAAGAAAAATCATTCACCACGTTACAACCTTAAAGCTTAACAACTCGGTGGATATCCTCCACCTCAGTTTCATTTCAAAATAAAGGCAAGCGTTAAAAAGATGTCAGCAAACACATAACCATGCTTAAATTCATCTCAGATTTATTAAAACTACATAGTGAAAATATATAATTTACACAAAATGTGACAAATAGGTCATGTCCAGCAAACTTTCATGTTAAATGTGGCCCATAGCTGTTTTGCCTTATACACCAAAATTCCACTAACCAATATATGAAATATTAAGTTAGAATTTGATAAATCATATCACCTTGCATTGGGCCAAACCCCATAAAACGCAGGCCTATAGCTCTTATCAAACTGCAACAACTTCCTAGCTCGAATGCCCTTCCTATCACAGGGAAGAGGATTATCATCAGTGTTCAGATGAGAAGATGTTCTGTCAGCATTGGAATCAACCCATCCAACATCAAGATTCTCCTCGTTCAAGTCCCCATCACAATACAGTTCTTTGTTGGTAGTAAGCTTTAATTCCTTGACCAGCTCGGTTTTTGGCTTCTGACGTATGCCCCAATGCATTTTCCTGTTCAACTGCATCAAGCGTCCAATGCCATGCCAGGCATTTAAGTGTGAACTGCAAAGGGGACAAAAGAACTTACCCTTATATCCACCGGAAGGTCCTATAACTTATTTTAAAACAAGATAGATAGTCAAAAAGACAAACCTCCGTATGACTTCCACTTGAGCTCCATCATTGTGGGCCAATATTGAATCCATTGTTACAGTAACAGATCCGGGCATTTTCTCAGGCATGTTCGAAGATGAACCTGATGTGGTTACATTGGTCATGGGGCTGTCCTTTTGAGACGAAGAATTAGTTTTGTTTCTCTTAAGAAAACGCTCCATGAGTGACGCTTGCTTTTGGAGAGCCAGACGTTTTCTTGACTCAGCTTCTTCCTTTTCTTTACGCCTTTGTTCTTTGTTGGCCTCCTCTTGCTGCCTTCTCAGCTGCTTCTGAATTTCAGTTTCTTCTTTCTCGCGCCGCCTTTCTTCCTTTTCTGCCTCATCATGCAACCGCCTTAGCTCTTTCTCCTGCAAAATATATGGATATTTGTGTTAGGACTTATGTGATAATGATGCTGTAAGTAAACATCATGTTAAAAGGCAACCTATGAAATAAATAATAAAATTCCAAGGTTACATACACTATGCAATTTTTCATTCTGAAGTTCCAGATCTATCCTCTTCCTCTCTTTCTCCTTTTCACATTTGCTTTTCTCCATCTGCTTGATTAACAGTTTTTCTTCTCCCGTGTTCTCTTTTTCAGCTCTTTGCAAAATGAAACAGTGATTAGGCTGATAATTCAAATTCAAAAAGGCCTGGCTAAGCACTAACATTGATACCTACATTTCAGAACCAACTTTATGTGTCATGTTATCCACTAACAGCCGAATATCATCTTCATTAAAAACTTTATTGAGTTTCGCTGAAGCTTTCATCAGTTCTTGCACAAAACTTGGACTATCTTCTGACTTTTCCAGGGCATTTATCATAGCTGAGACATACAAAGTTACCAATAAATTTACAAGGGACCAAAGAAAAGGATGACAGTAAGAACAGACAAAAAGCTTCAAACAATGAATAAAAATTCAATAGTAAAATACAGATTTTAAAGGATAAACTATATTGTCCACAAAATCAAGAAGATTATATCATGAATACATTGGTTTGCTAAAAGAGGTAAAACGAAAGAGAATCGTGTAAATGATATTTTTCTGCACGATACAAAACAAATTGTGCATCTATTCTTCTTCTATATAATTACTAAATCCCTGCAACTCCTAATATAATATACACTTCAGTGTTTAACCCAGATAGAGAATACCTTATTAAGTCTAATTAATTGATTGTTGGTGGGTGGAAGAATAAAGTGTAAGCTTCCATAAAGAGGTATGTAATCCGAAGGACTTCGACAACCTAATTTCCAGATTTTTGCTCTGCATCTTTGCAATTTAATGAAATAAACAACCAAATCTCTAGTAAACAGCTACTTCACTCCCTCATTACACATTTTAAAAGTGATTTTGCATAAACACAATAAACTTACACCAACATCATAATCACTGACACAGACCAACTGAAAATTATGTGTATGAAGTAGTCCAGTCAGAATTTACCAGAAACAGCCATAATCCTATCCTGGATCTTTTTCCGACAAGTGCGGCGAACTTTCAGAGAGGCACGAATTAGTGTTGGTATCAACTTCAAATCTCTTGTCTATAAAAGAGAACAGGAATCAGTAATTTATATAACAGAAGCAAAACCCATAATTAAGATGGAATAACAAGGATTATAACAAATCAAGTCATTATAAGAACTAGAAAGATCTACACAGAGATGAAACTAAAACCAATTTAATATGATTAAAATTTTACATTTCAAGTAGCTCGTGATACATAAAACAAGTTAGCTAGCACGAGAAACATAACCTAGCTGGGTAAAGAACTAACGCAATAGCAAAAAATTCATGCATTGGCTCAACTTGTAATAGCAAATAGATACAAATAATGACGCAAAATATTAAACTAGAGCTGCTTCGCCTTTTCTTTTTACAAAGGTTGAAATACGGATTAATTCACTTTGATTTTCTAAACAGATAACAGAAAATAGATCTACTTTCTTGCCCAAATACCCGATCACTACCTACAAGTTGTTACCTTAGCAGATTCAAAAGCCAACAAATCATATACCCAGCAATGAAACCCAACATAAAAGGAAATCACTCTTCAGCCATAGAATGTGATGCAAAACAGACAAAATAAAAGATATACCACACAATCCCACGCTAAATGTTATGAAATCATGAGCAATATTTATTTATCATACGGAAAGCAATAAACAAGCAAACATCATATTCACATACGACATTCAGCAGATCAGAGAAAACCACAAATATAAAGGACGTTGACTGGAATGTATACCTCCCAGCACCAAAGAGCTGACTCAGAATCATCTTCCAAAACATCAGCATCGGCACTAATCACCCCATAACACAGTCTCTGCCCAATTATAAGCACACTACTCTTCACAGAAGCCTTGCTAACACCATCACTAACGCCATTAACTCTCTCAAAAATCTCATCAACTAACCTAGATAAAGGAAGGTCACTTTCCTCCATTAAGCACGCAATCACACTGTTCATTGATTTACGAACTTTCTCCACAATTTCCTTTAATTCCCACCTGTTTTCGAACACTAAAATCCTACACAGCTCAACAAGCCTGTTGATTTCACTGCGAAATGCAATGATTTTCGCGTGTTTTTCCTCTGGGCTTTGGGGGAGAAAACACGGCTGCACTCTTTTTCTCTTCAGCTGCTTCTTCTTCTGACCTGGCTCGTCGATTGCCGGCTTGATCTGCTCTGCACCGTCGATTTGCATCGGCTCAACTTCCGCCATTTTTGCTTCAGATGGACTTTTTTTACCGGAAAAAATCATCAAAGAGGAGATGAAAAAAAAAAAAA